AGCAGTTGCAGTTTTGCTCCGATAGCAAATAAATTTGCTAAGGATACATTATTTTGCATCAATAGCGAATTAACGTGATTCTTAGGACAAATACACTCAACAAATTTGTTCTGTCCTGGCAACGAAACTTCTGCTCTAATAACGAATAATTTGTAAAATTAGTTACATCAACTAAATTTTTTTTATATCACTACCAATATGCAGTAGAAATGACGATTTTGTTAAAAAAGCAAAATTATTTTTCTCCGTGCAAGTGCTAAAGTTTATACCAAAAACGAACTTTTAATATATCTCACTCGTATTATTTGAAAACCGGCCGAGCACAGTGTTGGGGATTAACTAATGAAAATTTTTTCTGACTGAGATAATCGTCAGTCAATCATCAAAATTAATCAGTCGTCACACAATTAATTAATCGTCCTGAATAATTTATAATTGATTAATAAAATGTCTGCAAATTCGATTTATCGTACGAACATCGCAGATATCACTGTTTCAGCTGGAGAATCGGAAAGACGTGCATTCAGAGCTATACATGCAGCCAAGATGTTAGGGATCGCGACGTTCGTGTCACACGGGAGAGTGACATCGCGTCGAGAGATTCGAGATGAGCGCACCGACGATGTGGCATCGCGATCGACGTTACGTTGGCAGCTATGATGACACCAGGGAGCTTGATTCCCGAAGCCAGATTAAAATCCAGCTTGTTACTTCAACATGCCAATTTATTTGATTTGTTACTCGGCAAAACTCCTTCATTTCAATAATCATTTATTTCAGCAGAATACGTTTCACGGAAAAGAAGAACATTCTTATTTAGAGAATATCTATATTCTCAACATGTTCATGTTGAGATTATATGGCGTTAAACAGAGAAAACTTGCTTATATGAAGAAATTGAATATAGTTCCACTAAAAATATAATATTCTCGTTATTCAAGAATAATTTTCTTGAATTGAGAATAATGAATATTGGACGAAAAGAACGATATTTTCAAACCAAGAACTACAATTTCTTTAACTTGAAATTATCTATAGTGAACTATCGTAATCTTGCCATAACATTATAATATTGTTGAAATTTAAAAATATTAAATTGTTGTAGGA